CTACCGGGGGGTTTTGGGAGCCGGTCCCGGCGGGGTTTGGGAGCCGCTACTGGGGGGATTTGGAGCCGGTACCGGTGGGGTTTGGGAGCCGGTACCGGGGGGTCTTGCAGCCGGTACCGGGGGGATTTGCAGCCGGTACCGGACAGGTTTTGGAGCCGGTACCGGACAGGTTTCGGAGCCGGTACCGGACAGGTTTCGGAGCCGGTACCGGGGCGAGCTGGAGGTAGAACCGGAGACGTTTGGAGCCTCCGGAGCGCCGGTACCGCTGCGGCTCCGGTGCCTCCCGGTACCGGTGTGACCCCCCCGTCCTTTCCCATTCCACAGAAGCGCTGGGGCCGCTGAAAACCGAACCGCAGGTGAGGGGGGGGCACCGGGGAGGCACCGGGAGGGGCGGGGGGGACGGGGATTCCCCCTCCGGTCAATCCTTTGACCCTTCCCGGTGTTACCGAGAGGGGTCCCGGGAGTTTTGGGGGAGGTCCCGCTGTTCACGGTGTTCCCCCCCACTCCCCCCGCTCGGTTCCCGGTACCGGCAGCCCCCGGAAAAGCGGCGGAGAACGATCGAGGACTTCAATAAGTTCTGCAGCTTCGTGCTGGCCTACGCCGGCTACATCCCGGCGGCCGCCGAGGTAACCGGGGAGGAACCGGGAGGGCACCGGGGAAGCACCGGGAGGGATCGCGGGGAGAACGGGAGGGCGCTTAAGGCCTAGCGGTCGGTAGCGGAGGGGCCACCGGGAGTTACCGGGAGGTACCGGACGGGCACCGGGAGCTGGCGGGGAGGCACCGGACGAGGTTTGAAAGGAGCGGGAGGTTTTTAACGGGGGGAATCCCCGGTTTTTAACCCCCCCCTTCCCCGCCCCCCCCCGTTCCCCCCGGCCCCGCCGCCGCCCCGGCAGCTCCCGGCGTGCCCCGCGCGGCCCCCGCGTGATTGACAGCGCGCTAAACCCCGCCCCTCCGCCGCGATCCGCCAATCGCGTGGCGCCCCGCCCTAAACCACGCCCACCGCGGGAAGGTCCTTGCGGTGAAAAGCCCCGCCCACCAGCGGCGACCAATGGCGGCGCGTTTCGCGTGGCCGCGCCCTCCGCGCGCCGCGTGGGATGATGGGAGCTGTAGGCGGTGCTCGGTGTGGGGACTACAAGTCCCGGCGGGCCTTGCGGGGCGGCGCCATGTTGGAACCGGGGTTCGTTAGGGGGGGATTTGGGGGGGTCCTGAGGTGAATTTTGGGGTAAATTTGAGGTTCCTGAGGTGAATTTGAGGTTCTTGGGTTGAATTTGGGGTTCTGGGTGGAATTTGGGGTAATTTTGATGATCCTGAGGTAAATTTGAGGTTCCTGAGTTGAATTTTGGGGTCCTGGGTGGATTTTGGGGTAAATTTGAGGTTCCTGAGGTAAATTTGAGGTTCTGGAGTTGAATTTGGGGTCCTGAGGTGGAATTTGGGGTAAATTTGAAGTTCCTGAGGTAAATTTGAGGTCCTGGGTTGAATTTGAGGGTCCTGAAATGAATTTTGGGGTGAACTCACCCCTCCCCTCACCCACCCACACCCCACATCCCAAATTTTGTGGGAATTCCACCATTTTATCCCAAATTTTGTGGGAATTCCATCGTTTTATCCCAAATTTTGTGGGAATTTTACCATTTCAACCCAAATTTTGTGGGAATTCCATCGTTTTATCCCAAATTTTGTGGGAATTTTACCATTTCAACCCAAATTTTGTGGGAATTCCATCGTTTTATCCCAAATTTTGTGGGAATTTTACCATTTCAACCCAAATTTTGTGGGAATTCCATCGTTTTATCCCAAATTTTGTGGGAATTTTACCATTTCAACCCAAATTTTGTGGGAATTCCATCGTTTTATCCCAAATTTTGGGGGAATTTCATCATTTTAACCCAAATTTTATGGGAATTCCACCGTTTTAACCCGAATTTTATGGGAATTTTATTGGAATTCCACCATTTCAACCCGAATTTTGGGGGAATTTCACCGTTTTAACCCAAATTTTATGGGAATTTCATCATTTTATCCCAAATTTTATGGGAATTCCACCATTTAAACACAAATTTTTTGGGAATTTCACCATTTTATCCCAAATTTTGGCGGAATTCCACCATTTTAACCCAAATTTTATGGGAATTTTATTGGAATTCCACCATTTCAACCCGAATTTTGGGGGAATTCCACCGTTTCAACCCAAATTTTATGGGAATTTTATGGGAATTCCACCGTTTCAACCCAAATTTTATGGGAATTCCACCATTTTAACCCAAATTTTATGGGAATTGCACTGAATTTCAGGACCCCAGCCCCATTTTTTTACCTTTGCAGGACCCTCCCTGGGCCTCCAGCGGTCCCAGCTCTCCCCGTCCCCCCTCGGGCGACGCGTGGGGTTCGGCGCCGGCCGCTCTCCGAACCATCGAAACCTTCGTCCGCAAAGCCAAATCCTCCAAGAAACGCTCCTTGGCACCCTCGGAATCCACGATTTTGGACAAAATGCGCCTCAAAGACTCCCTGTTCGACCTCCCCTCCCCCCAAAACACCCCGGGACCGCCCCCCCAAAAACGCCGGGAGCGCCGGAACCGCCGGGGGGACGCGGGGATGGCGGCGGGATCCCGAGGGAGCCGGGAAAACTGCGCCATGGGGCTGAAAAAGAGCAAAAAAAGGCGCTGGAAAAAAGGGGAGAGGGGCGTTTTGGGGAGGGGGTCCCCCAGCGAGGAGACGGATTCGGAGGAGGAGCCGCCCTCCCCTCCCCCTCCCCCGCCGCCTCCCCCTCCCCTCCCCCACGAGGGGGGGAAGTTGGGGGTTTTGGGGGGTCCCGGGGGGGTTTTGGGGGTGGGGAAGGAAGGGGGGAGCACGGAGACGAGCAGGGACGGAGACGGCAGCGACAGCGACGGGAGGGTGATGGACGAGGATATCATGGTGGAGTCGGGTGAGTTCGGGGGGGATTCGGGGCTTTTGGGGGGAATTCGGGGGTTTTGGGGGGAATTTTGGGGGGTTTTGGGGGGGCTGGGGTGG